ATTCTCAGTTACAGTAGTGCAACACGTGTCTGTTGACACAGATGTGACAATGGAGCAGGTCCTAAACCAGCATTGGTGACTGTGAAACTGTCAGATTAAATCACATCATTCACTCATTCCTTAAAGCTTAAGACCAGAATTTTGAGAGTATTTACGTATTTATCAGTTTTATGCACATTTTTCCTGCTCTGACCACATTTAGATGAAGAATCCAGATGTCTGGTGCAGATGTGTTTTCCAATTTGACTCACATTTGCCAAACAAAAGGATTAATATGCAGTTAGGCAATATTACTGACCAACATCTTAGAGAGGCAGTGCTGTACCACAACATCCTGGAGCTCTTCCTTCAAAACAAAAAGTTTTATCTGTTCCAACTACCCAACAAAGGTGTCTCACAGTCCTGCATTATTTGAAAAGAATCTTTCACCAGAAAGAAATTTTCTTAGGAAGACTTACTATTACTGTTAAACATTTTATGCAAATTGCTCTGAATGTCTTTTTAATTTGGAAATTGTTTCAGGTTATCAGATACCATCCCCACAGCGTATTCAGGCCTCTTCTTGCTTCTACTACCACTTTTTCAAATTAAGTGCAACTACATTTCAAAATACAGTGTTCACTTGTTGCTGTCAGAGGAAAGTTAGAGAGACAACTGAAATACTGGACAAGTTATGACTGCAATGAATGAATGGAGAAGTGTGCAAATTGAGCCTTGAGATGGTTTCTGCCATGATTTCTGAACAAGTATTCAAAGCACAATGTGTTGTTGAAAACATAATTACATAGAAGTGTTTCCCTGCTGAAAAAAAAGGCTTTTCAGTTGCATTAAAAAACTTAAGTATTTTTTTCTGAGATGTCAGCAAATGTTATTATAGAAAATTAAAATAGAAAGAAAAATGTTTGAAGTAGCAATCTATGTGGAACTGCAAATTTTTCTGATGTAACCACAGCAGAGGAAAGCAAGTATAACTGAAATAGTGTTTAGAGGTATAATTTCACATTTTTATCTGCATGAATGTTTGCATCTGTTTGAATGAACTGAATTGCCAATCACTATCTTAAGCTTTCACAACACTACAGGTTTTTTTTAACAGTAGTTTAGTGATATAACACATGGAACAGAACATAATGCTCCTGCTCCTCTAGCAAAGGTATTAATCACTATGGAAAGACAGTCTGATTTAAATGTTTCTCACAGTACATGATTTGTCAGGGGAAAAAGTGTTACTCAGGGCATGACAGTGAAGTTTTCAGCAAGTGGTCAGTGACAACTCCTAGCAGAAATAAAAGCAAATAACTGGGGATTTAATTGCCCTCATCAGAAGGTATCTGCTATATTCAATGACCATTACAATGTCCATGTAATTTTGATCTTCCTACTTTTAAAATCGATCAGAAATACTTCTCTCACTTCTATTTCAGCAGCAGTAATTGTCAATCCTTCTCAGACACAGAAAAGTGTTTTTAACACTTGAGTACAGACTCACTACATCAAACCTTACTTGAATTGTGTCTGTAAGGCCTCCCACAGTCCACCACAGCTGCTAAAGAAGGCAGATTAATACAAAACTCTAATGTACTATTCCACAAATCATAAGCATATTAAAATTTGCAGGTTCTACCTGTTGTCAGTTGAAAGAACAACAGTTTAAAACAATGCCCCTCTTGGACTGAGAGAACTCAAGCTGACAACCACCAGAAATGTGGCAAGTCCAAGTTCTGCCAACTCTAGAGAAATTGGTAAAATACCACCCTCACTTCCTCCCAGTTGCAAAATGGCTAGATCAGATCCTTAGGGAAATACAGCCTATGGAATTGGTCACTAAAATCAAATAGCTATTCACTTGAAGCAGCAGTAGAATATTTTATTCCTTAATTCTCAAGCCCTGTGGCAGCAGATGTAAGCAGATGTAAGATCAGCAATAATATACATGGTGGGATTATCACAAGCATTTTGTTAACATACTGCTCCTCATGCACAAAACAAGGGTACAGAAGCTCTGAAAAAGCATCTGACCTTTATTTTTGTGAAATAAAAATAATAAAAAAAAAGAATATATTATATTAAATGAAAAAACCTGACAGCAGACAATCAGAAAAATCTTGACTAGCAATGGAAGGCTCTGCATTAGACTTGCAGAGTGCAATCTTCCTGATTTTGTAACACCCAACATTTCACAGTAAGACAAAGAATTCAGTCCAAAAGACTTCCCAGAAATGGCCAACCTGCATCTCTTGAAATTCTTAGGTTTTTGTGTCTTTTAACAGACCCTATTTAAATTACTTGGTCTCACAACCTGCAGCTAACAGAATTCATGTGTCTACAGCAAAATGTTGATGTGCTGAGTTTACAACAATTGCCCTCATCATTGGCAGAGGTTTGGTGGTTGGAGAGCACCAGATTTCCCACCTGGATGAGCAGGTGAGACTGGTGTGTCCCAGGGCAAACCATGGGTCTGGAGCTTGCTGCACACACATCCCACTCTACCCAGCGTGTCGGGCAGGGAGCAGGGCTCTGCCCACCCTGCCAGGGCATTCCCTTCCTTCCTCTCAGCTCTTGGATCACCCTCTCTGTGCCTCCAGCCACAGCAGGATTTCAGTTTGCATCTTGCAGAAATCAATGGGAATGTGCAATAACGCTAACAGAAAAATCTGGTAGTAAGACTGAGGCAGTTTCCACAATTCCAGTAGTTCAGTGAGGTCTGAAAGCCCTACTGCAACTTAACTCTCCCCAAAACCCCCATCAAGAATTAATGTGGTATTTCCCTAAAGCTTCACTACATCTCCAGTTAAGACCACATTTCTTAAATTAGATTTTTGTGTCTTTTTAACAGTGCTTAAATTACTCACTCTTACGACCTGCAGCTAACAGAATTCATGTGTCTAGAGTAAAATGCTGACTTGCTGAGTCCCACTGCAACAAGGGCAAACTTATTTAAGTTTTTGATAATGTGCTTTTTTCTTGAATTGATACAGGGAAGTTCCAAAATGTCACAATTTATACATTGTTTCAAATAACACACTTGAGCAAAGTGCATAGACAAATTATTAATCATGTTTTTATCTTCATAAATAACTCCATATGTCATAAAAATAGATGTTAAAAATACTTGCTTCTAACTCACTGCCCAGTGTCAGGAGTTCAGATATTTTCATGTTGGCCAAGCTTACTCCTGAAAAATGAAAACTTTCATTTCATATTTTCAAAGATATGAAAATACTATTGGGAGGTGGGGAGGGAAGGCATAAAGACTGTGCCTCCTTATTTGATCTCCTTCCCCTGCACGATTTCAGTTACATTTACTAGTTTTACTGAGAAAAAACAAGCCTATTTTAATTTCAGTAACTCTTCAGACACATTCATTTCCTTGAACTTAAGCTCATTTTTGGGCCTTCAAATTACCAGGATGGGAAAAAAGCTTTTCTTCCAGAGCAAAATTGGCTTTTATTATTTTATTAACAGGTAATGTCAGTATTTCTTTCATCAGAAAAGCAAATTTCATTTTCTTCTGCTATCATTTTTCTAAGATATGTAAACAAAGGGAATTTGTATTTTGTTCCTATTGTCTAAAAACATCTAGATTTTTTTAACCCAGGAATGATCAAAAAAGTAGAAGCAAACTCTGTGACACATCTAGACAATTCTGCTTTCTGGTTTGAAAGAAAATTTCTAACTCTGGAATACACAGCAGGTGCAATAATCCATTAGTCATGATTTTGGACAGAGAAACAGAGTTTCACAGATAAATTCAATTTTTCTTCCAGCTCTAAGGAAATTTAGAGTTTGGGAAAAGTGCAGACCTGTGCCAAAAAGCAGATTCTATGTACTGTGTAATTTTAGCCAGTCAACTTCAGTTTTCATCTGCTGACTGCAGGTAGTTTTGCTTTTAAGACCACTGCTCAAAGATGAACTTCTCTCACAAGTAAGAAAAATATCTTACTGTGAACAAACAAGAAATGCAACAGACAATAAAACTTTCACTTGATGGTGACCTGAGGTAGCATTTACTCAGTCAATGTTAATTTATTTCTATCACTTCAGTGAAAGTGGCATTTAGCACTTGCCTTCTAAAAAATGTGGGTCAACCTTTTTTAAATTGCTGCAGAGCAATTTCAGTGGGTTGTAGGTTAGAGGAGAGCGGGATTAAAATACTAAAGCCTCCATCAAGTCCCTAATCTGACAGAATAACTTAGGGTCAAAAAAAGAAAAATTATAACCAAATGTGATCACATTACAAATTAATAAAAATACCACTACATTCTTAGACAAGAGACTGAAAACATGTAAGTCAATAAAATATTTCAGATGATGAATTGAGAACAAGTGGAGGTAAAACAGACCAATTATTTAAATGAAAGTCAAAAGAAGTCACCCACATATTTTGCTTTCATAGGTAGCTGCCACCCTATGTTGATGCTTATTCAGCTCAAAATAATTCGTCAGTAGAATTAACTTTGGAGATGAACTGCAAACGCTTGCAGTGAGATTCTGACAAACTAAGATGTCACTGTGACAAGCAGAACTGCCACCAAGGAGCCACAGAAGCAGAAAGTATGCTTTCTTAAGCTATGTTTAAACAAAGACAAACTTTTGGGATTTTTAACTGAGCAGTGGTTGATAAATATTTTAGGAACTCTGGGCTGAAAATGACCTGGAAAAGCCAAGACACACTCATTAAAAAAAAACCACTTCAAGCAATTAAGTTAAATCATTTCAGTATCTACCAAAACTAAGTTGTATCTAAATTATTAATAATGGGAACAGTTTTCTTTCTGCTTCTCATATTAGGCAGATCTGCACAGACCTGAGTGTTTCATCTTTTATTTTTTCAACAACAAAATATTTAAATTCACCATGAAGTAGTAGCTGCTATATCGTTGCAGGACATGGTTAAGTATTTTAATTATTTTGCTTCTCCACAACTCTCTCAGCAATTTTGCTTATCCTAACCCTAAAGAAGAGCAAGACAATCAAGGCAAAGCCTTGCCATACTGTACCTGCAAAGCACAGTTCATCATTCTCACAATGTAGTCGAACTGCTGATGGTCCAGGATTGCTCGGTTTTCTTTGACATGCTGGCCTAGCTCCTGAGTCAGGCAGTGCCGAGCTGCCTTGCCTTTCAGGGCTCTCAGAGCTGCAGGCAGGGTCTGCAGAGAAGAACATTTCACTTCATGGAAATGAATTTAAATGCCACTACTCACACTGAACAGCATTAATTTTTTATTAAGAAATTGCAAGTAGCAGTAAAGAACAACTCTGAAAATTACCCATTAGCTTGAATATCAAATTTTCACATAATGGTTGATTTAGCCTAAGTTACCAAGTACTAAATTTGTCCCATTTTTTCCCCCAAATGCATTAAACAGCATCTCTCACCTACATCTGTAAATAGAAACCCTTTAATATGGACAGGCATTGAATGGATGTGAAATCAGAAATGGATTATTGTGGATGAGAGCAGCAAGTCCTGTACAGCCAGGCCAGGACTGGAGTTTGCCCATCAAGGCTGCACATTTGGTGACAAGCAATGGATGACAAAGCTCAGAGGTGGCACAGCTCTCCCAGCAGTGAGACCAACAGATTGTTGTACAGCTTATCCTAAACCAGGGCCAACAGAGTATTTATATCAAAGTTTTTAAAATGCAGCAAATGCTACAACAGTGATTAATTGTCAGCTGGGGCGCTTTAGGCTGGAGATAACAGGTAAGTAAGAAAAGGCAGCCTATTTGCTAAGGAAAAATTTACAATATGAAGGGACAAAAAACCCACTGAACTTTCCCAAGTGCCTCGAAGTTAAATGAGGTAAAAATCTACTGTGCTCTGCTTGGATGAAAACTCTTTTAAAGAGCTACACACTTCATTAGGACTTTTCCCATGTGCATCTTGACACTGTAACTCGTAAATCAAGCAAAGCTCATTTTCTATTTTGATCTGCACAGTGTCAGAGATATACAGGTGATACTTCCCTGAGAAATCAAAAAATTTCTTAAAATAATTTTACAGTCATTTTTATATGTAGAATTAGATTTGATTGTAAGTTTGAGTGATTGCTCTACAATCAATAACTGAAAACTTTATGGACAGAATTTACAAAACCTGGTAATTTGTAAATGAAAATAAGAATGTCAAGGGTAACAAGTCACTAACACATTTCAGTGAAGACAGACATGCCAAATATTTATGTTAATCTCTGAGTTCAATCAAATTACTGATTTTTAAAACCAGCAGAATTGACTCTGCTCAAAATTTCCAGAGAGCATTGGCTGCTAAACACTATATGTATGCTTTTTGTTTGCTCTCCTTCTAATGAGTGCAGCTAGACCAATATACACCCACCTCTTTAAAAGAAAAAATGATGTGGACAATGCTACTTATAACAGTAATAAATTCTGCAAAAAGGGTTTTCAACTCACCCATGTAGGATTAGAAACAGGTTTTCAAATCCATTAGCCTCATATTACGCACAATATTGCATTTAGATGATTATTTTTATTGCTTACTTCGTTCATTTAAATGGACAAAATAATCCTTAGCATTTGAAACAAGACTTCAAAATGTGCTTTGTGATTAGGCCAGTCTCCATTTGCTCATTAACAGAACAGAGAGTAATCTGAGAGAATTAAAATTTCATTTTATTACCTTTTCAGTCTCCAAAAATTTGTTTTCAAAAATGAACGAGATGCAGTTTCTAACAACTTCCAGCCTTTGTGCACTGTTGAAAACTGTGCTTCCTTTTTCCATTATGGAAACTAACAAAGAAAAAGAAGAATATACGTCTGTGATACGTCTGCAAGAACCACAAAGAATACCACAAATTTCTTTAAAAAATAATTACTCTGTCCTCTATTTTATTCTGTTAAGCAAATACCATTTGTAGGCAGATGGGAACACAGGATCCCAAATCTCTGGTTTTCCTATACCATCTGAAGAGGAGAGTGCTCTGAATTTTAACTGGAGTAGTTGATTCTCTTAACTATTTGTCTCACACAGGCACAAAGAGATTATAACCTCTAACATACTGATGGAATACAGAAATAAGCACAAATTAATAATAAATGTGTGTGTGTGTGTGTTCTGCAGTGAGCTACACAGCCTTGCATATTTTGTAGCAGTAGATAACTATTTTTAGATGGCCATGACAAGAATTCTGCAACAGGGAATAAAACCTGACAAACCTGTTCTATCTAGATTCCAAATTGCTGAGATCTTATTTTCTTAATGCACTGTTTTGCCCTGATTTTTCAAGAAAATTCAGAATGCAAGAACTAACATTCTCTTTTCCTCTGTAATATCAAATAAACAGTATGTAAATTCAGGATATGTCTTTCTAGTACATAATAATGAGCTACTTATATCCAAGGATTCTGAGACACAGTTCAGCAGGGAGTGTGTGAAAGCTGCTCCTCAGAAAAAAGAAAGCCAGCAAACCCCCTGCTTTGAAACAGAAATTAACTTATTAAAAAAACCAAAAACAAACCTTCTCTTGCAACTAACTAACCTTTTGAAGAAAGACAACAGAACACAACCACATATCCTTTAAAATTTCTGTAAGTATCAGATTCAATGATACAGTCAACAGCAAAAGCAGGTGAAGGAAGTTCATCTTCTTTTTGCATAAACCCAAAGAGAAACAGCCCTGGGCAAGGCCTCCAGAGGCCATCTAGTTCACCCTGCTGTCCCCAGACAGGATCAACTCTATTTATGTTATTTCTCATGTTTGTCTAACATGTTCCAAATCATCTGTGATAAGAGAGACTCCATGGCTTCACAAGAAATCCACTCAATTGCCTCACAATCTTCATTTTACCACGTCTTGCTGACAAATAATGCTATTTCTGTGCTGCAATTAGACCCATTATTTCTTATCATTACAGATTATTCCCCTTCTTTTTCTCACTGTCTCTTGTGTAATTGAAGCCTGCTATTATGTGTCCCCTCAGTCTCTTATTTTTCAGTCTAAACAACTCCCCATCTTTCCTTGTAGGTCACATTCTCTGGACCACTTGTCATTCCTGTTGCTTTCGTATGGACTCCCTCCAACAGAACCAAAAATGGAGACAGTCTTCCAGTGTCCAAAAATGGACACAAACACTCCAGCCGAGGTCTTATTGAGTACAATGAAAGGATTTCTCCATGGGGTTCACTGACTGCACTCCTGTTTATACATCCTAATAAGATGTTTGGCTTTTTTTGCAGTAGCTTGATATAGTTGGGTCATGTTTGCCCTACGGTCATTAAAGTTCCCAAATTAATTTCTGAAGAACTGCTGCCTAGTCAGCCCATCCTGCTGATGCAAGTGCCATACCTTATTTGAAGAAAAGCAGTAGAGAAGAACAGAGTTCAATGGAGTCTCGTGCTTAGATATATAAATTTTAAAGATGGATTTGAATTCTGGTCTGCAAATCCATCCTTTAAAAGTTTTGCAGGCTCTGCCAACTTCACGTGCAAGTTTGCTAACCACAGTGGTTTATGCCACCATTCACATTGATGAGTATGACTATGAATAATAGAACTTTTGGCATTAAAATTAAAATGACAGGCCTACAACGTCCACATACTTTATTCTTAAATGCAGGTATATTTATTTGGAGACAGATGCTGTCTTTGCTCTTTGCCTTTTTCCTGTAATTCAATCTCTTTCACTGCTATCAAAGGCGGAACTCAAATGGTTCAGAGCTTGGTTCAGCCAGTGCTACAAGTGACCTATGGTGATATTTAACAGGCCTGGCAGAGTAGACAGTACCTAGTCTAACTGTTCAACTCAAAATCTAATTCAGATCAAATCCACGTCTGTTGTTAGCACCCCTCAGTCTCTGGATGCTTGAATTCTCAGTAAAGGCAGATAAAAAAGGGCTTTTAAAATTGCAAACACTGGAGTCTACGCACCAGAGCTTGCTACAATCACTAAAAACACAACATTAACATGAAACTGGGAGCAACACGTTGCAGTTGTGCTAATTATGACTACCAGGAAGGACAGGGAAGAAATGAACATACCCACAGGGGGACCTGCTGGAACCACACACTTCTTGTCCCCACGGGTGGCAGAGGGGACACCCTGACTCCTGGCCAGCCCCTCCTGGAGCAGCTCCTGCACCCGGCCCTCGTTGATGCGGGGGAAAGGCAGGATGTGAACGCGCAAGTGAGAGCCCTCCGTGGGCCGTGGCACCTTCTGGAATGCTATGTGGGGATTGGGGTTCTCCTGCAGGTCAAAAGCAAAAGGTCACACACAAAACTAATCATGCAGTGTTACCATCTGCCTGATCTGATTTTACTGTTGTTTGGAGAATCTCCCATACCCGAAAGATGAAGAAGTCAAGTATCTAATGCAAATGACTCATAAAATGTTTTATATTCCTATCACCCATGACTCATTAGCTTTAATATTTCCAACTTTCTTAAAGCCTTTCATAAAATCATTTTTGTCAATGTGCAAAAACCAGAGCAAAAGAAAATCCCTGCTTAACTTAGGCTGGTTTTATGCCAATTAATGAATGTTAAGGACTTGAATATAAATTAGTGTGACAGCAAAGCTCTTCATTAGAGAGACTATCTGCCACCATGCACAGGATCATACCTCACATTTCCAGGGGTGCAGTAATCAAACAATGGGGTATTTTCATCTCTTCATATATTTATTCTGGGGTTACCATTAATCACATCTGAATTTACTGCTGTCCAATTTGACTCTATACTGTTATTCATTACCAGCTACATACCACTGCCAAAGAGTGCTATCCATCAGTGAGGTTTCTCTTGTAAATGTACAATAAGTTTGGAAGAAAACTTGTAAACAAGAGCTTAATACTGTTGTTCACAGGAGCAAAAGACAACAAGGAGATCAAATGCATCAACTTGAGAAACAGCAGTCAAAACAGAACAGCTACTTAGCCACAGGCATTCTCTGCAAAGGAAAATTTAATGGAACAAGACAAAAATCCAGGGGTATAAGAACAGCAGATGCCAGGGGAAGCAAGAGAGAGAAAGGGAACACAGTCTCAGGAGAGAGTAACAGAGGACAGAGGGCAGAAAATGCCAGAAAAGGGGAGTAACACTTCCAAAATCCGTTTCAGTGAGAGGATTTAGAGGAAAATCCGTTTCAGGAGAGATTCAGAGGAAATACACAGGAAAAGTTGCTTTTATCTTGGACATCGCAAATGTTAGGTCAGATGTAAATGCTATTAGGCTAATTAAAGGTCTAATGCCTTGGATTTTCCACCTGCACCAGCAAGACTCCATCTCTCCCTAACAGCAAGACATTATCTCTCCCTAACAGACCTTGTCTCTCCATTGTATCTAAACTGTCATGGCTACAATATTTTGATTATTAAAACTGTGAAATAAGATGTCAAAATACATCATGCAGTCCATTGAAAATCAGGCAGCTCTAGGAACATCTTAAGCATAGTCATCACCTACATTTTGTCAAAGACAGGTGCAAGCACAACTACTAGAAATCTGACTTCTCAATGCACAAAGTCACTGACTTAGCAAATATCAGAGTGTGCTCCTGTGAAGTCACTGACTTAGTGGTAGTGAAGGAACAGGTCAGTCACAATGGTAGAAATAAATCTCATCATCAGAAAGACACACAGAACACAAAAGAAACCCCCAGAACTCAGCAACATTTGGTAGTTCTTGTTTTTTTTTTCCAGAACTGTAGATGTAAATTACACTTTTGGGGAAGTGGGATGTAGAAAAGAAGGGGTGACAAAGGTGTCAGCTGATGGTGTAATAGATAATGCTCTGTGGAGTCTGAATAACCACAGAAGTGTGAGGGGGAGGGAGATCAGTCTATGCCAAAAAAACCTCAAAGGAAGCAAAAAATCTAAAATCCACAAACAAAAAAAACCCCATCACAGAACCAGCTAATGGAATGATAAGAGACTTTATAAAAGCACTATGTAAAATAAACATGGTATGAAGGCAAAAATTAAACTGGAAATGAAGTTGTAGGAAACCTAAAGAGTACAAGAAACAGGCTGTAAAAAATGAAATAATGCTTGCTGAGCATGCAAACCAGGGTGACTGGGTCACACAGAAGGAAAGACCTGCTGAAAGTATACATTAAGCCAAGTTGCATATATAATTTTCATATGGAAAACTGTTGAGGGGCAAGAAAAGAGATGTATGTGGTATGGATAGGTTGCAGCAGAGAAAATAGCAGTTTATAGACCTTATGTTAACACACACTAAAAATAGACAAGTAGTTGGAGCCATATCTAAATCAATACTAGCATTAATAAATCAATAGTATCATATTGAATTTCCTTTGCATGTACAAACTTAATGACCCTTAAAGTTCCAAAGTCTTTTGCCATAATGCAGATGATGACTACCACAAGCAGTTACTTCCATTTTCTGGACACTGGATCAATCTGAGAAATTAGAATTTTCCATGTTACCTTCTCAACTCTACAGGTGCAGCAAGTAGAGTCAACTTACATTTTTCAAGAGCTGTTCTGCAAGTTCTCTAACATGCTTTATCATTTTTGGTGGATTTCCCTCTTCAGCTTTAATTCTTTCGACTTCAAAGGCCACCAACTTTTTTTTAAAAGAAGAAAGAATAAAAATGTTGATAATTCAACTAAAAAAAAAATAAATTCCTATTTAAGCTATAAAATGTTGATGTTAAATTGAAACCAAGGAAAGAAAGTTGAACACTGAAAAATGTGTGATGTCACATTGCTCTGGAACATGAGACGTTTTCAGTTTCATATGCAGCATTTGTTACCAGACAGAAAGTCCTACATACCTAAACCAGTCCTTTCACATTTCTCTAGCTCAATCCAAATTATTCATAGGTTCTATTACTACAACACAGAATTAATATCACACTCTATTTTTACTCAACATTCAATCAAAGCTAACAATATAAAGACTATGGCATTACTTTTTAAAATCAAAATATTTTTTGTCTCAGTTCACATTGTTGGGTATGTAGCTAATGTTATGTTTCTCTATGAGGTTGTTAATGTTTCTGAGAATATAATTAAATTATTGAAAATAATTCTGCACTAGCACATGCAATGTATTATGAAGCTACAGATGTGACAATAGAAACAGCATTACCAAAGTTTATACAACTATTTAACTTCATACATATGAGGAGGCATAGTTTTATGGAAGTAAGCTAGAATTATCTCCTTAGCAGAAAATAAGAGTTGGGATGATTAGTATAAACTTGATACAATAAACTGTGGGGATTCAGAAGCATTCCAGTAGTTTTTCCCATGCTGAAATATCACAGTAAATTGTAATTTACTTGGGAATACAAAAACAGTTTTCACCTCATCAAAAAGATCACAGGTTCTGAAGGGAGGACCCCTCTCTGACACAAAGCCAGCAAATGCCATTCCATTGAGGACTTTGGTCAGAAAGTCATTCTCAATTAAGCCTCGCTGGCCCAAGAAGGCTGCCTGCAATGAAGACAGAAAAAAAATGCACATTTTTTAAACAGCACTAAAATTACAATTACAAGTAACTGTTATGTACTGGTTAAACATTTTCACCAGCTTATCAGCTTCTCCTAGAAAGTGGTACTTTCTAATTAAATTTTTTACTATACACAGTATCTTTTTATACCTAAACTTAGAACTGGAAATTTGATGCACACATTTTTTAAATCTCACAGGTAATAAAAGAGAAAACTAATGCGTTATTACATAAAGAGGTTTTCAAAATTCCTCAAATGTTTATTTGTATTAAATTTCTGTGTTAACTTTGTTGTGTATTTCCATCCTGTCCCTGCAATTAGTCCCACCAAAACACACTGATACTGTGCTGTGCCAAAACAATGTGCTTATCGCATGTAGATAATTTTATTTACATTTTTCAACTTTACCACTTGTTCAAAAGGCAGGCTTGTGGGAATAACATGGCACAAGGGAACACCATAAACACACATAACTGCTCCTCCTTTACCTTATGGAAGTGAATGACAGGTTCAGCATGAATTCTGATCAGCTGAAGACACGACCGGTATCCTTGGAAAAGCTGTGCAAATAGCCTCAGGAAGATTGCTCTCACTTCTTTGTCCTGTGAGCAGTAATTCAATATGCTGTCAAAATATCCTCAGATTCTAAATTTCTTCACATTTTATATGAGTTGACATGAGAAATGCCTACAGATTCATGAGTGCAGCACATGAAGGAGAGGTATTTGTACAGCTATGAGGTTGTCTCAGAATGGTGGGCACTGGGAGGGAGCTTGAAGTGCACCAGGTTCCCCTGCCCTGTCCTCAGATGGCCTGGCAGGTTCTGTACACAGTCACCCTTCAGCCCTGCTGACCCTTCCTATGCCTGCAGCTCTGGGCAGAGCCAGGGTGCCTGAGAGGTGCTCACATCATGAACCACATGAATGAACTGCCATGAGAGAAACCTGATGTGAAGTAAAGGAAAAAGGCTACTTTAGCCTGGATTTATTCCCTAAAATAAGTGTGGCTTTGAAGAACTACACAAGCAGTGTCTTCAGAGTGGGCAGGGGCAGCAGGGGATAACAGGAGCCTAAGGTGGCACTGCTGCTGCTGCTGCTGCTGAAGAATCCAGGCTTGGAGCATCACCAGCTGCAGCTCTCTGAGACGAGCAGACCGCTCCAGGTTTGCCCAGCCCCCTGTCTAGGACTCTTCCAACTCACATCTTCACTTGCCAACCTTCTGCCACCAAAACAAGCCAGAGTTACTTAAAAAAGCTTAAAACAGTAGGTCTGGTTTATTTATTTGAGTAAGAAAGTGCTTACATACACACCACCAGATTAATGGAAATGATGTGAATAGCTGGGGCAGACTCAGGGCAGTGACATCTCCACCTGGCCCAGATGCCACTAAAGACTGATACCAAATCCTGGGCCACCCTATCATTTTATCTCAGCAGCTGTGTCAAAAAACCTGAGGTCCCAAAAATTGCTTTATGACCTTTGCTTTTATGGTGTTACATTGCAAACTCTAATTCTAAATCTTACACACAGCAAAGAATATTAACTATCAGGTAATCAGCTGATCAGGTAATTAACAAGCAAATATAACCTAAGCAAATTACAACCTGCAACTTAATTTTAAAGAGAAAACTAATATATAGGATTATATAAAGCTGGAATATATTGGAGTATTGTACTAGATGGATGTTTATTCTTCACTGGAACATGATCAATGTTTCTCTATTTTTAACTTAAATTTTGTATGGCTCACTTTACTGACAGATATGCCCATTTTCTGCTGCTCTCTAGGATTTTAACAGGTACATTTGTAGCCTGACTTTTTTGACTACTTGAAAACATGGTAATTTCTTTCAGATTTAACAAAATCCTTACTCTGATACTAAATTATATTAATTTGAAACTTCCCTATTCAAAGTGAGATCTTAGCTGAATTCCCCCATTAGTTTAGATGAAGTCTGGATGACATTCCCTGTCTTCAGCAATGAAAAACCCTGATCTTAAAGCAAGAATTAAGTACAACAAATATATTGTAGCACCTAAGAGTTTCACATTTTCATATACATTGACACAAAAAGCCCCAGTGTGTGTTCTTAAATTGAACTGGGTTTTGGATTTTATAAAACCTCTAACCCATCAGAATGCTATTAGAGGGCAAAATGCATTTCTCTGCTCCACTAACAATACTATAAAGTATATAGAAAAGCAAACACAAATTCCTAAAAGGAAGCTAATCTAAAATTTCAACTCATGAAAGTCAGACACAGAAAATAACACAGAAGTCTTACCAGCATTTTTGAGTGTGATAAAGCTGTTCGTGGGGGAGGGAATGCATAATCTGCTGTTTCCAAATCAGGATGCAAAACCTAGACAATTTTGAAAACATAATCTTTTTTTCCTTCATTTTGCTGAGAAAAATATATTCTTTTTTCTTCCTCAAACTAATATTCACTGATAGTGAGTACCTCAAGTAATATATGGAGTTACATTGAGCATGGAAATAAAGATAGAATTAACTTCTCAGCTTCAGGTTTAAAGATGTGAGTTAGTTATCAAAAACTCTTATCACAGTCCATGAAACTGATCAATACCACTAGGGATTTTAGAGTCAATTCAGCTGAAGCAGATTAACAGACTAAAAATTCTTCTGTTTAAGACAAGATTTGCTCAGAAGCCTCCAGATAAGGTGATTTCTAACTTAGTACAATGATAGCAAAAAGACAAACTAAAGTACTTTTAATGGTGATTTCCTAAAGTAGAATCCATCATTCCTAAATTCTGAAACAGAAGCATCACATAACTAAACTTTGAAGGATTATTAATTTGTTAAATTTCAGGAAAATGTACAGTTGAAATGAATTTTTTAACACAGAAAGGCAGCAGAACTGAGTAGTAATAATGCTGCTCAAATACTTATTAAAAATAAAAATAATTATAACATAATTTAAAATTAATTATTATTAAAAATAATTATAAAGGAAAAATCTCTACCTCTTGAATAGTGAAAAGACATTTTAGATTTCCATTACCGACAATGTTGACTTGAACTACAGACAATAAACTCTTCTACAAACAGGAATGTTGCATGAATAATTCTATTTAATCTCATTTCCAGTGCGCTTGAAAGCTTAATATTGAAATTTTTGATTCTTTACAAATAGGTGAGAGGGTGAAAAGTGGGGATTTTATCCAAACATACCAGAGAAAGGGCCATTTGAGTCTGGTGTAGCAGTGGCTCTGGCAGCTGGGACAGATGAATACATTCAGGAATTTTAATTGTTCCTCCATCCAGGTCTGCTATGATTACATCTAACTGTAAGGGACAAATAGTAATAGAAGTGCATACAGTGAGCACAGCTTAAAAAAACAGCAGTTCAAATTTCTGCACAATGATCTGCACAGAAGTTAAAAACAATAAATTAAAAAATAAATTTAAAAAATACCAGCTTTAATCTACAGAATGCTTTTGATACAGGAAATACTCCAAATACTTCCTATTACTGAATCTAGACTGAAAAATGAAATTAAACCGAAGAAAATGAAATTAGGCCAACTTTCAAAAGTGACTTCTGTTTCTGGATCTTCCAGGTCTGTGTTCAGAGATATGAGATATCTAATAGGGTGTTAGCAAAGGAACACAATAAAGGCAATTAGAAGCAAAATTTCATGTTTCTAAGCACTTCTTGTAACCCTGGTTCAGTTTCTCCAAGCACATACTTAAAAAGGGTAAAATAAAACAATTGAGAATGCACTTGAAAATCCTAAATGAGTTGCTAAAACTCAGGACAAATACATGAGAAAGCCAGAAATAGATCCATTCCTTCCCCTCCTGCACTAGATTAAAATAATTTCCCTCTACTTTACAGTCTCAATATATTTACAAAAAAAGAAAAAAAAAAATAAAAAAAAAATAAAAAAAATATGTTTTTTCTCTTTTTCTCTCCTCCTAATTGTCTTGCCTTGCTTTCTTACAGTAATGTTTTGAATGTGAATTATTCATACAAACACCTCCAAAGCCCTCAGAAAGGCTCTGCACCTGATGGGCACAAATACTCACAAGCTCATGAATGTCATTGCGAAAGACAGAATGAACCCCAATGATGAAAGGTGTTGGGGAGCTGAGAACCTCCAGCAGCTGTGCAGGAAGAATTGGAATATAGGGATAACTGTGAAAAGAATAAATGAAATAGAATAAAAGCTTATTCCTTTCACATAAGGCAACTTTTTTCTTATTAAAAAAAAATAAAAATCTTCCTGTTAGTAATCAGGGATACTGAAATTATAGATAATACATTTTAAAAACATTATTAGTTTTTGAACACATACCTACCCTCCAGCCTCTTGTAAAATATCATTAATAAGAAGTCTCTAAAGGAAATATCTTGTTTGCATATTGAAATGACAACTAAACATTATCCATAGAACACTATTTCAGGTATTGTTTACTTGGTTTGACAATTTATAAAACTTGGTGCATTCATGAAAACAACATCAAGAGCTGGATCTAAACTGATCAATGTATTTCTACACCTAATTTATAGTTATTAAAAGTTTACAATCATTATTAATTAAACATTAGGAATAATATTCCAAAACTTAATTTCCAGTTTTTCCTTCTTTATCTATATTGTAATAAACTAATCCCTGAAATATTTTAAATAAAACAAGCTATTAAAATACAAGCATAATTTGAAACAGGTGAATTAGATGTCTTCTTCCTAAAAAACCCAAATTTATTTACATTAAGTTTTCTATTTCAAAATTCTGGATCCAGCCATGGCTTTTTAGAGATCATCAGTTTGTTGATTTAAATTCATTCTCTGGTGGACATTTGTCACCAGAGTGACTTAAAACTGACACACACTAATGTAGCTGCTGTCTTTGAGCCACAGAATCTTCTGGGTGGTGAGTAGGGTTTCTACCCTACATTTTTAGGTGGAATATTTCTCCCTTAATTGTTTCCACTGCCACGATGCAAACAGATTTTTATTAATGATGTGCACACACTTGGATTTGCATACAGCATCATTAACAGCTTTGCTTATTTGAACAAATAGAGCACAACTCCTTTAGTTTGGGACAAACAAAAAAAAGTAATTTGTTTTTGTAATAAATTGTATTTGTAATAAAAGTTACAAATGAGTTATAAAATCATTTAATGAGTTCAAAGAATCCAAACTTAACTCACCTGTATTTGAGGGGAAACATCAAAGACTCCAGAGCCCTACAGGCATCACTGAGCCTTTGAAAACTTGCTGAGTGAAAGAGAACCTTATTTTCTGTAAGCACGGCACAGAACAAGCTGAGTACATTTTGGATTCCTTTAAAAAAATAAAATAATGAGAAAGAACTGTAATAACATGCCAAAAAATTCAAAATTATATTAAAATGTACCATTTTCTTGAGGGATATTCAAAAAGCATATGATAAACACAAAAATTTCCAAGTTCCAAGTTTTTCTACCTTCCATCTGTTTTTCAGGTTGCTAAAATACTATCTGAATGTATTTCTAGATTTCAGATATACTGCATTACATCTCCCTTTCAACACCACTTGCAAGGATTTCCACCTTTCAGCACAAATGCTCAATAATGACTACAAACAGTAACATGTGCATCTTCTGCACTGCCTTCTGTGTATCCAGTGCTCAATTCTGGTCACTCATCCAGGCTTAACTTCTAAACCTCTTTGTGTCTCCAAGCAGGGGGGGGAAAAAAGAAAATCATACTGCCAAGTTCCAAAGAAAATGAAAAGATTCCTAGTGAATACATTTATTCCTTATCCATGGAGAGCAGTCTAGGAGTTAGGAGGTTAAAAGAGGGCAGTAAGAGAGTGTTCATCATTAAAAAGATAATTAAAGGAAGATTATAAAGATATTTAAAGGAAGATCTGAATGTTTAAAAAAGTCCCACTAGATTTAGGGTAAGACTCAGGAATCAGATGATGGGGATTTTTAAGACAGTATAATTTACCTAAGAGACAAAGCCATGTGCTTTCAGGGAAAACCAAAAATACATTTCCTTTAAAAAAAAAGTCCCATCCTGAGAAACAGACATGCCTGACACATGTGAGATATGCTGAAATTTATGAAATTTCCTGAAATATGCTGGAATGTATGATGTTTCCCTGAGGACATGGCTTGTGTTATCAGTAAGACAGCCTGTATTACCTTCCCAAAGCTACTGCTTCTCTTGCAATAATGTCCCCAAAAAGAAGTGTGACTACAGAGAGCCACTACATTCATATGAGAATTAACACTTTGTTTTTTTAAAATAATTTTTATTACATGTTTTGACAAATCTTTTTTCTTCCACAATGTATGCAGATTGTCTTGGCTGGAGTAAAGTTCAGTTCATTAACACAGCAGGACAAGGATTTGGAGAGGGCTGTTTAGGAAAAGAAGACTTAATTCTTAGGATAGTCAAACAACAACATAACTTGTGCTTCCAAACTCCATTCTCCAAGACTCACACACCAAAGGCAGAGCCTGGAGAAGACTGAGGATAGAGGTCTTTGTTGCAAGGCTGAGTGAATTACTGCTGCAAATGTTTGCTGTTATTGTCAGTGCAATAATTAATGCTGTGCTAGTAGAAAACAAACTGCTTTGTAACACACAATGTAAGGATGATGATAAAAAGTTCAATTTGTTTCCTCACAGCACCCAGCAGTGAATGGTTAGAAGGTAATTGGAAATAGTGTCCTTCCTTTTGTGTATGCACAAGGGGTGTGAACATCTTGGAACACAAGTTGAGCAACTGCTACCCCTCTTGAAAAAAATCTCAGTCAAAATTTAAAAGCTCAAATTGCCCCTTTGATGCAAAACCACCCTTGTTCCTTTCCCAGGAAATTTTCAAGAATATTTTGGAGTATACTTTTTGTTTTAAACTAAATTTTTGTTTTCAAGTGGGCATCTCAACTCCATTTCATTCCACACCAAATACCTTAAAACATCTAGGAATATGTATTTTTTAAATGTCTGACAATGGCTCCCTACAATCAGATAGGAAGATTCTCAAACAGTGCTCTAAAAACCTGTAATGTTTTGGCAGCTATTACTGAGGAAAATAATACCAAAAAACCTCACAAATATTCAAAACATTCGGGAAAATGAAATGCTCTAAAAAAGCCCTTCCTGACATCAAAATACCAGTAAACTGAAAATTCTTGAAAGAGATGTTTTCCATTCTGTGTACCTTAAAACCCAAACCTGGGTTCTGAAAGGTAAGAGCGCTAAAATATTTTCTGGATGTCATTGACCTTCAACTTTGTTTTGGAAAGAATTAGAAAATTCATTTACTGATGTAGAAGATTCAATTGAAACTGAGAAAAAACCCAGCCTTTTTAGCTGTGTGGTATTATTTTCCTGTTAATTATGATGATTCAAGAGTCTAGAAGGAGTAGTTTAATTCTAACACCTTTGAAAGTTATAAAACTCAGCCAGTATCAGCATTTTTAATTTTATATCCCTTCTGAATACAGGCTGCCTCATCAGACACCAAAACAATATGCAATTCTGCAGAGTACATAATAACTGAATACTTCAGTAAAAATTTTACTAACAAAAAACATAAATGAAGGGGAAATGAGAATTTTCCTTACATCTAAAGAAGACACCTGCAAGTACTTCACAGTATCTGAACACAGTGGCTGCAGATCACAGTCTCTCTTAGGGATTAGAAAAATAATACACTTTTGTATAAATAATATAGGTAATCTTCATGGTCCAGCATAGTGTTAAACAGTATATCTGTCCAATTATTATCTGGTTTTACCACTGTAAGAAATGGATTCTGTCAGCATCTTAAATTTACAGAAAGATCTGGGTGTTCAGTCAATGGAACACAAAGTTTATTTAAATTACTTGGCAGTGATGGCACGGTTTGTGAGGCTTTCATAGTTTCACTAGGAAAATTAAGTCTGGTTTTGCTGCATTTTGGTGGCCACAGATAAAGCTTCAGTTTGTACTCCACAAAGGTATTTGTCAGTGCATGTTAATCAGCACCAACATAAACTGACATTTAAATGATGGCTTTCAGCAACTATTTCCTGCAGAAAAACTTGACGTCCCATAGCAGAATACAAACTGCAAACATGTTTTCACTACATTCTGGGAGTTGTTCTCCCAGATGTTCACTACATTCTAACTGGCCATGGAAGGTGAATTTGAAACGTTTACGGAGATGTGAATGCACCTGATGTAGCCCCAGATGTGCTGAGCTGCTTTATTTATGCAGAATTTATGGAAAAGACCAAACTTGAGAGCATCTAACACAATAAAATCCAGATTAACCACTTCCACTGACTGAAATGCTTGTAAAGCCCAGTTTCTTTATAGCGGTGTTTTCCTTCTCTCTACCTCTTCCTTTCCTTCTTTCTTTCTCTAAATGCTCTGTATGCAATACAGAAAAACATAAAGTACATAATATAAATAGAATTAAGTGTGCAATACAGACAGCTAATCTGGAATTTTCTTGTTTTCAAGATGACAGCCTCTAACTCAATACAAAATTATTGCTCCACATGTACTTTGAAACACTTTTTTTCAGGAATATCAGCAGTATAATGACTGTGAAGGAAGCTTCTGTCTGATAGAATCAAACAAATTATAAATGGCAGGACTTTTGATTACTTTCCTTTTCTAAACCATTGAAGTCATTGATTAAATTGTTTGAGGAAGCCGCCAAGGTGTTCTTTCAAGCCTTCCAAGCTGTTTACTGAAAACAAACCATTCCAAATAACAGCCTGAGCCCGGTTTCCTCGTGCTGCAAGACACAATCGTGTCTGTCTGTAACCTTGAACCCTCTGCTGGTCTGCAGACTCCACTCTACATCCGATGCTCATTTGTCAGGGCATAAATAGACAACATGAAAAACAACAAACAAGTTGATTTTTACAGATTACTCCTTTGCAGTCTACAGACAGACATCCTGTAAAATATTATACATATGCTGGAAAATTTTGAATGGAGGCTTCCTGACCTTCACTGTTTTCAAGTATTTAAAGAATCTGTAATTTGTACTAAATTATCTGACATCCTACATCAACAAATGTATCACTCTGCCTGCTTCCTGTTGTTCTAGAATTTAAGTACTTATTTAAGCACAATTAAAAAAACCCCACCAAACACAAAGTCTACTTGAGAAGTTACTATATTGCATGAAATCAAAATATTACCACTTACTTCTTTTGTAAAGGGTTATAAACATGGATTCAGAAACTCAACTGGTTGAATACATTATTATGCCAGTATGCCATTCTTGAATTACTGGACACAAGAAAAAGCTTAATAGACAAAATAATCCATAACTTAGCCAGACTAATCCAGGAAATGGGTCAACAAAGCCTGAAAAGCCTTTCTGAAAGGCCACTGGAGACTGCATAGTACAAGTTTTGTGCCAGGCAGTGTCAAGCTCTAAAGATAACTAGGAAAAGAATAGAGAAAAACAAAACTCTTTTCATATTTATTTTTAGATGTGGCTGCATAACTCTGCTAATGACCAAAATACAAACTTAAATAGCAAATAAGAGGCAACAACTGTACTCAATACACAGGTAACCCGTGCCAAACTGCATTGATTTGTTCACCCAAAAATCACAGTGTCTTCAATCAACTACACAGAGTTGTAACCCAAATTTGAAACCCAAATGATTGCTGTGTCACTCAGCTCAGGATCAATTTGCATTTAGGAAATCATGCAGGTCTGTTATCAGAGCAGGATTGTGCACTCCATGATTCAATCACAGCCCAGCTTGCTCACAAACGGGGAGCAATCTGCCTGTGCCAGCAGGGAGCTTTGGGAGGGTTAATTTATCCTGCTTTTTGGCTGGAAAACAGAGGAGATGAGTCAGATGAGTACCCCAAGAGATTAACTTGTTTAGGCTTTGTCAGACTCAGGAGGAAGAGAAGCAATCCCTATAGCATGGAGCCTTCAGCTGAGACTCCCTCAAAGAATCCAGCATTTCATGAATTCATCCCCAATTCTGAGCCCACAGAAGGAAACACGGGTGTGACACACACTACTGAAGCCAAACTCCATTTTTAGAGATGCATTTTTGATTTGGGAACTGAACTGAAGGCAATTCAGAATCTGAGCCATGAGTTCTGCACGTTCCTTGTAAGAAGGGCGGAATGAAGGCTTCCCTACAAACCGGCGTCTGGGGAGGGTGGGAAGAGGAAACAGGAGCACCACATAGAAAGATTCTGGTATAAACACCAGAAAAGCCAACTGATCATTAAAAGCTATCGAAGAGACTGTGAAAATTAAGATATATATATAAACAAGATGTCTTCAGCTGATGGATAAATACTCCTACAGCTATC